CATATCATCATTCATATCATATTCAATGATCTGTTAATATTCATATCATATCCCATGCTGAAGGGGTGGGGATAATACAAGAGTATGGGTACTTGGGGATCCTGTTAGAATTCTATCCACCATAAGAAGCATGGATGAGTGTACTAGCCCTAGTTATCATCCAGTTGAAGGTAGAAACCTGTTAGAATATTAGAACAGTACCTGTTAAGGTCATTCTACTCACTTCCAATGCAGTAGATCTGGTATCAGAAATGCTTAAGAAACTCCAGACTGAAAAGGTTTTGAGAATTTAACATGAATTTCATACGTTTGATCTCTTTAAATCTTCATTTCTGACCATGGGACTATCTTCTGTGTGAAAAGTACACTAGCTCAAAGACGATGTGCAATCCCTGTGGCTGCCACCAGATCGTGTGAAAAATGAAGGTCAGTGGTGATTCTGATTTTTAAATCTAAAAGGTTTATAATGGACATTTCCCACATATATATGGGTCACATATTGCACAAAATGTTTCACTATTACTTTAGGTTATAATACAGTGTTCTCTCACCTAAACCAAGATGAATAATTTTAAGCAAAATTTGCTGCACTGGTCAACCAAAACAAAACAAACAAAAAAAAGAATCAAGATTTCAGGCAAAATGAGAATCTGAAGTAAAAGTATTTACTATGTTTAGAAATGAAGTATGACCTGAAATTTAATTTTAAATCTAAAACTGGTGTGGATATTTTTACTGGGCACAATTAAAATCGAATTACCACGTGTGATTTATAACTCAGGTTTTACCTTGAAGGCTTTCAGATTACTACTTAGGAGGCCCCCAACCAGCAATTAGGAGCTTTTGAAAATGTGCACAAAGATAAAGTCATAGAGAAGCCATAAATGCCTTCATAGTAAATAATGATCTGTTTAAAAATAACTGAATGAAATAAAGTACCTAAGAGAGGAATTGAAATATAAATGTAGCCATGAAACAAAATTTAAAGAGAGACCTATACTGCATATTATCCTTAGTTGTTTTCAGTCACAACAAGTCTAAGTGGGACAAGACACAGGTAATATGTTATAAGCATTTGTCATCTTCTCATCACTTCTAATGATGAAATGTACTTGTTAAGTCCATTATCATATCGGATGTAAATAATCAGAGAAAAGAAAAATTAAAAGAGAGAGGGGTTGTTAAAGAGCTGAGTTGAAAGAACTAAGCAGAGGACAGGAAGAAGTGACTAAAAAGCCTGCCTGGACTGGGTCTGAAGAGCCTTGGGAATGCTGATTGTGCCAGATGGTCTCTGATTTCCTGTCTAGACCCACCCCCTAATCCTTCTCATGCTGCTCTGTGACTCCAAGAGTCTGACCTGTATGGGCTTCACCAACCAATTTCCATTGTCCTGTGTCTTCATGTTGGGTTTGGCTAATGGGAACTACTGACAGACTAGAGGGCAGGAGGAAAGAAAGGGTCTTTATTTCCCAGGCTCCACCCACCCCCTACAAGCTTTAGCTTGGTGGTGACTACATTTTCTTCAGCCTAATGTCGCAGTTCCTGTTGGGTGGCCTTCTACAACACCAACAAGATGTGCTGGGTTTCAGGAACCACTATCTCTCATTGTCGCTTCAAGCCTGGTGGTTGAATAATGCTTTCTTGTAGTTGCTAGCTGCAGGGCCCTTCATCTCTTGGTTTTCCTTCATTAAACCGATAAACTTACAGCATGATATGAATGTAACGCTCCTTTCTTTGTGAGAATAACACAATAAATTCTTAAGTTGTTTGTTAAATTTTTTGCATGGTTGGTGTTTTTTATGCATGCATAGCCAAAAGGGAACAGGACCATGAAGTGTCTTGCATTTACATAATTAGATAATATTAAATTCATCTGGTGGTGTAGTGGCCAAAACACTTCTCCGCTAACAGACAGGTCTGCAGATAGAACAGCCACTCCATGGGAGAAAGACACAGCATTCTCCTTCAGTAAATATTCTAACAACTCACTGCCATAGAGACATATGCGCCTCATAGCGACTCCTCCTTGGGTTTCCGAGGCAATATCACTAGGGAAATAGATGGCTCAACATTCCTTGCAAACGCTATGGGGGAGTTATACTGTGTCGTATTGTGTCACTATGAGTCAGAATCGACAGGGAAGCAACAGGGCTTTTCTTTCCTTCTTTTTTACTCAAATTCAACTACAATTGAGTGCATCATGTTAAGACTTTCTAATGGAATCAGGAACTTCCCATCCCAGTATACATACTAAGTTTCTACAGAAATTCAGTGACCCACCATGGTGTGAAATTGATCTTTACTGTCAAGTTAAAGTTTTTTCAAAACATTTCTTTTTATTTTGGAACAGATATTGGGGAGAAAAAACAATGCTTTCTTCAGATATCAATGACTTCTTTCACGTTGTTCCATTTTATTTAAGCATGACTCAAAAAATGGGCTAGAGGAAATAATTCCTACTTGTCCATCATTATTCCAGTCTATAAAGCTGAGTGTGAAGGTCTCAAAATTGTATCTTTCTCCAGAATCTGTTACATTTGTGGGACAATTTTCACAGGAAGAGTTTTCAATTAGTCAATTATCAGTCCTCCAGATATAATTCTCTTGGGAGCAAGGTAGTACGCGAAGCTCATTGTCTTGTATTTTGTAATGCAGCTACTACTACAAGATTTCAATGCATCACCTTTGCCAAAACTGTTCTTCGATGACTCTTGGTAGGTTGATCGTGATTGCCTGCATTTAGGTGTTGACCTTCTTGCCAAGCCTCTGGTAATGACTTTGATGGTGCACTTCATTACCGCCTTCAAACAACTTTGAGCTAGTTTCTGAAATTTCGCTACCGGAGCTGTTAGGATTACTCTTCATCACTCCTCTGCAAGACTGGTTTCCTCCTGGTCCACTTCTTATCACATTTACGGTTTGTCCCATGGAGTCTCTAGTAGACACTTCATTTGAAGGGTCTTCTCCATGTTTTAACACAAAGTGGGGAAGAGAGAAAGGAAAAACTAAAATTGGGGCAATCATTAAGTAGTACTCTTGTATGTTATTGCAAAAAACAATGAGAACTTAAAGAGTCAAATATTTTAAACAGGTTTTACATTTACAGTTAATTGTTTTGTAAACTACATTGTCTAGATTCATAAGTAAAGGCAATACATTTCAATTTGATGGGTAAAGAATGAGCTACTCTTAGAGAAATTTAGAGAATTCTTTAAAGATGATCTGGAATAAGTCTATTTTCAATATCCAAAGACAACTTTTTTTTTTGTTTAGTCTGCTATCAAAACATTGATGCAACTAAAAAACAAATTATGCACCTGTAGGGTTCCCAACTCCACTTCCCTGTGCCACTGAGTCCTTTGCAAGTCACAGTGACCCTATAGGACAGACTAGAACTGCCCCACAGGATTTCCAAGGCTGTATATCTTAATGGAAGCAGACTGCCTCATGTTTCTCTCAAGGAGTGACTGGTGGGTTTGAACTGCTGACCTTTCATTTAGCAGCCAAATGCCTTAATCACTATGCAACCAGAACTCCATCCAGGAAGGTACAATAGCAGCATTTTAATTCAAATGACATTTTTTTCCAAATTTTTTAATTCTGTTAGTTTTTTTCAGTGTCTTTAGTGCCTTAGATAATACATACACATATTGCCAAAAGCAAAACTCACTATCATCTAATCAAGTCTGACTCACAGCAACCCTATAGGACAGAGTAGAATTGCCCCACAGGGTTTACCAGACTGTAAATCCTTATGGAAGCAGACTTCCATATCTTTCTCTCCTGTGGAGCAGCTGGAGGGTTCCAACTGCTGACCTTTTGGTTAGCAGCCTAGACTAACCACTGCATGATCAGCGCTCCTGACAATATATAAAGTTGTATTAAAATACAAAACTGTCGTAGCTATTGTAAAAATATAAATAAGGTTTATGGGTCTGTAAGTATTTGAATACCTTTGACTGAATTGAATAAGGAGCTCTGGTGGTGCAGTGATTAAAGCATTTGGCTTCAAGCCACAAGGTCGGCAGTTTGAACCCACCAGCAACTCCATGGGAGAAAGATGAGGCAGTCTGCTTCTGGAGAGCTTTACAGCCTTGGAAACACTGTGGGGCAGTTTTACACTGTTCTACAGGGCTGCTATGAGTTGAAATCCACTTGATGGCAGTGGGTTTATTGTATTGAATTGACATGGAATGGAAGGTCAGACCAAATGAACAGACGGAACTTTGCACCATACATATGAAGACATGCTCAAGAACCATACTTCTCTAGTACCCTCTTAGTAAGTAAAATTCTCAGCCTCACCCTGGGAAGGAAACACTGGCCTGAAGTTAGAGCAGGGGTTCTCAGCCTCAGCACTACTGACATTTGGGCAGGAAAATTCTTTGTTTTAGGGTGCATTCTAGGAGGTTTAGTAGCACTTCTGACCTCTGTCCACTAGATGCCAAACAGCGCCCTCCAGTGTCATCACCAAAAATGTCTCCAGATATTTCCAGATGTCCCAAGTACCACTGGGATAAAGGGATCTAGAATACTTTTGATGCTTACTCAGTATGCCTCCTCAATAGGAATATTGCTTGTTCCTATCACATCTAGCAAATTGGCAATGGCAATGAAAGCCTTTGATACTCTCCATTTACTTGATGGGAGCTGGGAGGCCTTGTTGTGCTAACCAAAATGTCCACAGACACTGGCACATGTCCCTGGGGGAGGGGGAGTAGGAGAAACTTCCATCAGAGGGGAGAAACCAAGGGACAAAGAAAGATGACCTCTGTGTGCCCTAATTAAAATAATTAAATATTTAGCATAAAGAAGAAAAACAAAATCTACAACAAAAAATCCCACTGTGTCATTCTCACCAAACATCAATGCCGCTTTTCTTTTAATGAGCAGTTACTTAGTTTCAATTTATGCCATATCTGTATAATCTTTGATATTTAACAGTCTGAATTTTCTTATCTGTGTCACCCCTCATAGCAAATATGCTTCAATTTTCACCTGAGTGTTGTGGTGGCGGGTCCTCTTTGATCATCCGTAGTCTGGCCTGCAGCTCTTCCTCTGTACTGTCACCTGGGCCACCTAACAATTTGTTGTCCCTCAAAAGGATATAATCCTCATCACTTAGATCACTTACAAATCGATAAAAGGCTTCTAGCTTAAGCAATTTAGCCCTCTGACGCCTGCGGTAGGCGGCAAACTCACTTTCTTGATGCCTAACATTTGAATTTTCCATCTTGATCAACAAGTGGAAAATTACCTCACTATTAAAACATTAAGCATAAAATTATTAAACACAGTTGAAAAATAATAAACTGGATTGTCGCTTTTTGCACTTTCTGCTTAAATTTTAGTGTCCAGATCCGACTCAGTGGGTTCGCCACAGGAGAGCCTCCTACTGGTCTCTGCCCCTCACCATCTGGTGAATCTCTTGTTGAGGGCGGCCTCTAGACCAGTGTCTAGGAGCTGTTGCCTAGGCAACCACGTTCTTCCCCATTGTTACAGAGACTAGATTCAGGTTCTGTTTCTTTTCATTCCAAACAAGCAATCATTGCTGTGTACCTCTGCTTGAGAAAGACCAGTCAGTCTACTTCCATAAAAGTTTATAGCCTCAGAAACTTTATGGGGCCATTCTCCATTGCCCTATAGGGTCGCTGTAATTCGGAATCAACTTGTTGGCGAGCATTGGGTTTTTTTGACACTGTGTACTAAGCACTGTCCTTCGTCTCCCCCACTCACAGGAGCCTATATTTTCAGATTTTCAGAAGGCTTTTTCCAGGCAGTGAGTTCAGTTTTGGTTTGATACGCTCCAATTATTTGTACGCTAAATTATAGAACCCCAACATGGCATTCAGCTGCTAAACAAATTCCCGTGGTTCGAACCCACGAGCCTCTGGGTGGTTGTTATTTGTTATGTGTTGTCGAGTCGGCCCCGACTCATAGCGACCCCTCCTTGGGTTTCCGAGGCTGTATCACTATGGAAGTAGATTGCCCAACCTTCCTTCCGAGGATTGGCTGGTGGGATTGAACCGCCAGCCTTCTGGTTAGCAGTCAAGTGCCTTAGCCACTATGCTACCAGAGCTCCCCCTCTGGGTGGTAGACCTCCTTAAAGATTTGTTTTTTTGTTGTTATTAGGTGCCATCGAGTTGGCTCCAACTCATAGCATCCCTAGGTACAACAGAGCGAAACACTGTTGGTAAATATTTACAGCCTTGGGAACCCTAAGGGGCAGTTCTACTCTGTCCTCTAGGGTCCCTGTGAGTCAGAATTGACATGATGCCAGTGGGTTTGGTTCTGGGGGTGTAAATGCAGCTAGTGGTTACATTCCATCCACCTGTCTTCTTCAAAACGCCATATCTAAGTCATCCTACTTAAATACAGTGATTCTCATTACCCTCATCATTAGGAACCCAGGGACTTCTGTCTGTCTTTTCTCCTCATGAATTACTCAAATCATAGATTCTTACTGAGAAGGCCCACAATTTGGAGTAATTGAGGTAATTCACCAGCCCCCTTGCTCAATCTCTTCAGTTTGTCCCTCTCCATTTTAAATCTTTTTCTTTTTTTTTTAACAGCAACATACAGAGACTCTGTCCAAAAAAATTCTAGCAGCACTCACAAAACACATTCAAAAGTTTTAAATATATACTTGCATGTATGAGTGTGTATTGTGTGCGTGTTTTGGTTGCAAATTTACAAAGGAGATTTGTTTTACATTCAACAGTTCATACACATTTGATTTCATGCCCTAATTATGATCCTCAACCACAAAAAAACTCTCCTCCCTTCTCCTCCCTGTGACTACCCCCTTCCTGTGCCCTTCTGATCCATGCATTCCTGTCTGTCCAGCTTTCCCTCTATGTGAATGCTGCCCCGCTGATGCCTAATGACTGATTGATCTAAGGGTTGCTTTTCCCTAGGGTAGGTTGTTACATCTCCCTGGGCCAGGTGTTCTGCATGTAGGTCTTCTTACTCTTGGGGTGAGAGCCAATCCATGGAATTGAGTCCATTTCTAAGACTGAAGCATAACCCCAGGCCATACATAGTCTCAGGGGTTCCACCAGTCTCTATCCGACCAGCAATTGTGGTCATTTTTGTGTTTTTCAATTTTGTTTCACATTTTTCCTCCCACTCTAACCAACCAAAACCAAACCAAACTCACTGCCATTGAATCTATTCCAACTCATAGCGACCCCCACTGGGTTTCCAAGGCCGTAACTAAGTAGATCGCCCAGTCTTCTTTCCACAGAGTAGTTGGTGGGTTTGAAATGACAACTTTCTGGTTAGCAGTCAAAAGCCTTAGGCACTGCTCCAATTTTGATCCCTTTCCAAGTGGCTGGCACTGGTAGCTCATCTAGTTCTTCTGGCCTCAGGGTCATGAAGGCTGAGGTCCATCATATCTTTGGACTAATTGTTTCCAGATTACTTTGATTTTCTTCACTCTTCTTTGCTCCAGATTGGAAAGGACCAATAATTGCATCTTGGATGGCCACTCAAAAGCTTTTAAGACCCCAGTTGCTACTCGCCAAAGTAGGATATAGAACAAGATTTTTAAGTACTATGTTGTGCCGATTGAGCATAATGTCCCCCGAGATTATGGCCCCGAGCCCGCAGGTCTGGTGATTCTCTCTCTCTCTCTCTCTCAAGGTGTTTGGTTGTCTCTGAGAAGCTACTCCATCCCTGTCCTCTGTTACTTCTGTAATGTGTGTGTGTAATTTTGTAGCACAAGTACATATGTAAGATTATCTTCAGCCAAATCTGTCCTTGGTCTTGGGTATATTCTTGTCAGGAGTTCTGGTAGCATAGTGGCTAAGGCACTTGACTACTAACCAGAAGGCTGGCAGTTCAAACCCACCAGCCACTCCTCGGAAGGAAGATGGGGCAATCTACTTCCGTAGTGATGCACCCTCGGAAACCCAAGGAGGGGTCACTAAGAGTCGGGTCCGACTCGACGGCACATAACAACAACAACAACAAAAATATTCCTGTTATCCTACCCCCACCTGGTCTTCTCACCTGCCTACGCATTCACCAGAAGCCTAGTGTTTGGTGCCAGTGGTAATGCAGTATTGTGCATATGATAGCATTTGCCTCTGTTGTCTACATACTTTGTGCATGTTTTGTGTCCTCCCTTTCCCCATTGTCACAGTGCTGTCATAGACTCTTTCCCTACTGCCCTTCCCCTCACCCAACTCAACACGTGACCCCCAAGTAGTCTGAAATTCTCCCTTCCCTTCCCTCCCATCCCCAGTAACCAACAAAGTGAATTTCCTTCCCTGAGTAAACGTTTCCTTGACTTTCTACAATGGACTCATGCAATATTTGTCCTTCTGTGATTGACTTCTTTCACTCAGCATAATATCCTCCAAACTCATCCACATTGTGAGATGATTCTTGTATTCTTCATTATTTTTTAATGTTGCATAGTATTCCATTGTGTGAATGTATAATGGTTTGGTTATCTATTCATCTGTTAATGGACATTTAGATTGTTTCCATCTGTTTGCTACAGTGAATTGTGCTGCAATGAACATGGGTGTCCATATGTCTTTTGCTGTCCTATCTCTCACCTTTTCAGGGTATATTTCTAGTAATGGAATTGCTGGATCAAATTGTATTTCTATTTTCAATCTTTTTAAGGAAACGCCATACCAGTTTCCACAGTGGCTGTACCACTTTGCAATCCCACCAGTAGTGTATGAGAGTTTCAATCTCTCTGCACCCTCGCCAGCATTTGTTATTTTCTGTCTTGTTGAACTTTGCTATTATTGCTGGAGATAGTATGTCATGGTTGTTTTGATTTGCATCTCTCTAATAACTAGTGATTGTGAACACTTCCTCAAGCGTTTGTTGGTCTCCTGTATATCCTCTTTAGTGAAGTGTTTGTTCATGCCCCTTGCACATTTTTTAATTGGATTGTCTTTTTGGAGTTAAGGTGTTGAAGTTTTCTATGAATTTTGGAGGTAAGTCCCTTGTCACATATGTTATAGCCAAATATTTTGTCCCAAGCTGCAGGTTCACTTTTACCCTTCTGGAGAAGTCTTTTGATGCACATAAGAATTTAATTTTTAAAAGGTCCCAATCATCTAGTTTCTCTTCTGCTGCTTGTGCATTTTGGGTTATTCGTGATTGTCTATTTATATCATAAATAAGGGCCCCTAGATTTGTCCCTATTTTATCTTTGGTGAACTTTATAGTTTTGAGTTTTACATTAAGTCTTCAGTTCATTTTTGTGTATGGGGTGAGGTATGAGTCATTTCATTTTTCTGTAAGTGGATATCCAATTTTGCCAGTACCATTTGTTAAAGTTAAAACAGATGTCTGGTTTGGTTAATAACCATTGAATTAAATGTACTTTCTGGCTAGTAGTGTAAGTAGATCTAACTCATTTCAGTTCTGAAATTTCCTCTGCAATGGGAATGTGTTTCTTCTCAAACTCTGATGCCCTGAAATAGTATACTTCTTGTCTATTTGAAATAGTATTGTTTTTAGTATTTTAGTATTTTAATCCCAAATACCTCCCCCCCACACACACACACACAGTTAAATCTGTTGAAAAGCAAGGCGCTATACTGAGACAAGCAAGGTCTGGTGGCACAGTGGTAATGCATTTGATCGCTAAACAAAAGGTCCGTCGTTTGTACCCATGAGCCACTCTGTGGGAGAAAGATGAGGCAGTCAGTCGGCTTCCATAAAGATTTACAGCCTTGGAAACCTTATTTGACAGTTCTACTCCATCCTGTAGGCTCACTATGAGTTGGAATCCACTCAATGGCAGTGAATTATATTGAGATAATTCAATATATAGAAAAGAGCATTGGTTTGGGAATTAAGGGGCCCAAGTTGAACTCTATAAAAATTGTTTTTCTGATCATTTAATCTTCAGTTTCTTAAATTGTAATATGAGATGGTTGAATCTATTTTTTAATGTTTGATGATTAGTTGCTCAGATGAAGGGAACTTGGCAGTGGAGATTGAAATAAGGCAAAGGAATCAGAGAAGGCCCAAATTCCAAAGTGAAGCCAGGAATAACTATCTCCCAGCACATTAGTTCAAAGCTGGTAAATTAAAATGGATCATTAAATCCTAGAAAGTAATTCAAGAAGATTCACAGCAGGGCCAGTGGAAAATCTTGATCACCTTGGGAAGTAGAGCTGTGGGGTAGTAGCAGATACGTGCACTTTTATTACGTTGCTGTTGTGTTGTTATGTGCCGCCAAGTCAGACCCAACTCATAGCAACCCTTCCTTGGGTTTCCAAACCAGTGTAACTACAGAAGTAGATTGCCCAACTTTCCTTCTGAGGAGTGGCTGGTGGGTTTGAACTGCCAGCACTCCTACCTTTATTATAGTCAGCTAAAATAAAATATTTACACCTTGGATCTCTGAAAGTTGGTACCTTGTTGTCTTGATAATTTATTGTTTATCAAACATTCGAGATGGATGACCTCCAGATCTTTTGTTCTAAAATTTAATGAATGAAAGTCATACTGATATATTTTTTTTTAATTTTTAATGTTTAAAGCTAAAACCAAGGAAATATCTTATTAAAACTTAGAAAGTGGCCAGAGTACAGAACATGCATAAGCAAAAAGGTAACAACACATTATCAGTGCTGATTTACTTCATTAACATTTTTCACATTTAATTTCATAAGTCAAGATGAACAGAGTTAACATTTGGTGGGTAAATGTAAACATAAAGGTGTATTTATTATCTTCTAGACATTCATACTACATGCTCTGTTATTTGTATGCAGGGCCTGGATGACTAGAAATCCAGTTGTCAGACATTTTAGTAAACTGCATAGCCATTTCTTTCCACATAACAAGTCATTTTTACACAGAAGCAACAGTAAATAGGTCAGCAAGTGCACTGCAAACCCCCACCTTCACAGCTGAGCATTATTCAACAGCTATACAACTGTGCCTGGTGCACAAACACACAGAAAAGATTAGAATTGTGCTTGGTAAATACTATTTTCAAGAAATACAGTATTTTCACCTGAAATGTGTTTATACAAATAGAGGCTCAGATTACTATTTAGATATCGACATAAGTAGCGTACACAAATGAATATACATCAACTATTATAGGTTTTTAATTTTAAAGAATAAAGTCAATATTAATCAGTCTCTTGACACTTTTGTGTTACTCAACAACAAATGGTTGTACACATTCTCTTAAAAGTCAGGAGACCACAAATTAGGTTACCAATCCTACTTTCAAAAAACAACAGCAACAAAAGTGTATTTATCAGCCTCTAGATGTGTGCACTATACACTCTGTTATTTGTATGCAAGGCCTAAGTGACTACAGGTACAGTTGTCAGGTACAGTTGTCAGATATTTTAATAAGCTAGATAGCCATTTGTTTCTGTACAAAGTGTTTTTTTTTCTTTTTAGATAGTAGCAACTAGGAGGAATAGGAATAGATAAGCAATATAGGTAACTGTTAAGGAGCTCTGGTAGAGTAGTTAAGGCATTTGGTTGTTAACCAAAAGGTCTGTGGTTCAAATCCACCAGCTGCTCTGTGGAAGAAAGATGGGGTACTCAGCTACCATAAAGTTCTACAGCCTTGATACCTAATGGGGATCACTCTGAGTCAGAACTGAAGACAGTGATATATATATATATATATATAGAGAGAGAGAGAGAGAGAGAGAGAGAGAGAGAGAAAATATATCTACATATCACATAGATATCATAGATACGCATGAAAATTTACAGCAAATAACCAAACCAATAATGAAAGCTGAAGTTGTTCACTAACTTACAAGAAATTTGAATAATGGCAACAAATTACCACATGAAATGCTACCCCAGAAGTAAAGTTTCAATAGCCAGTGGCATGTTCCAAGGACTCTGATATGTGCTGAGCACACAGTCTTCTCTCCTCCAACCCCCCCAAGTCCTCAGTTACTTGGCTTGCCGATGAATCATTATTCTAACAAGACAACTTTCTTGACTTTTCTGGGGAGTTTCAGGGCCTCTTGGATGAAGATTTGCACTTGGATTCCCTCCTGTATCTTGATGGACGGCGGCTGGACCTTGATCTGGACCTGGTCAATGACCGAGATCTGGAGGACCTGAAACGGGATCTTCTGGTAGATCTGGAGCCAGAAGTTGATCCAGAGCTCCAGGGTGATCCAGATCTACTGTGAGATCCGGAGGTTGACCAAGAGCTAGAAGTGGAGCTGATGAGCAAACTGCTCCTAGAATGGGACTGGCTCCTGCTACTGGGAACGGCTGCGGCTAATGAGGCCTTGGGCTGCGGCTGCGGCTGCGGTTGCTTGCGGCTGCGACTGCGGCTGTGGCTGCGGTGAAGACGCCTTGGGCTGCGGCTAAGACGCCTTGGGCTGTGGCTAAGACACCTTGAGCTGCGGTGCAGACGCCTTGGGCTTCTGTGAAGACGCCTTGGGCTGTGGCGAAGACGGCTTGGGCTGTGGCAAAGACGCCTTGGGCTGAGGCGCAAATGCCCTGGGCTGTGGTGAAGATGCCTTGGGTTGCGGCTCTCGTTTCTGTTGCCATCTTCCGGGTACCTGCGAGATGGCCCTCCCCGGCAGCCATGATGGTGATCTGAGTAGCGAGGATAGGGGGCCATCTTTACCCGCACCTCAGAGCCATCCAGCCTGACCCTGTCTAGGGCATGCATGGCATCCTGGGCATCGCGCTTTTCATAGAAGCGGACAAAACCGAAACCGCGGGATTCTTTAGTGAAGGGGTCCCGCGGAATGTACACATCACCGATACGCCCGTACCTCTCAAAAAGGCGCCTCAAGGTGCTGGACGAGGTCCGGTTAGTCAGGTTGTCCAACTTGAGAGAGGTCATGTCCCACACACTGGGAAAAGGCCGACTGTAACTCATGGCCTTTGAGAGCTCAGCCTGAGCCCAGCAAGCTCAGAGAGGAGAAAGTAACGGCCCTCACGAGTGAAGGATCCAGGCTACTGTAATGGTTCCCTGGGATTTGTCTGCTCTAAGCTCCGCCTCTTCCGTGTACCTTCCGCACGCAAGATCTTAAGGGAGGATATTTTGCTACCTCTGGGGCTCTGCTGGCGTAGTTCCTAAGGCATTTGACTGATAACTGGAAGGGGGGAGGTTCAAATCCACCAACTACTCCTCAGAAAAAGATTGGGCAATCTACTTCCATGGAGATGCCGCTTCAGAAACCCAAGGAAGGATCACTGTGAGTTGAATGAACTTGACAGCAGTGACTTTGGTTTTTGGTTTGGTGGGGCTAAGACCACCTGAGAAACTCATACCCACTTTTTGGAAAATAAATACTCGAGATTATAACACAGTCCTGTGACATTGCCAGTATAAACCCAAATACCCAGATTTAATTGTAGATAAAAGAATAGAGATACATGAGAGTTGATGTAACTATGAATGTGTGTTGAAATACATTTGCAATGCTAATTAATATGAGCCAAAAACATTTGTCAGTTTATAGTAGGAAAAAAAAAATTGTACACGCATAAGATGAGTCAACAGTAAAAACCAAACCAAACCCACTGCCATGGAGTTGATTTTGACTCATGGCAATCCCCATTGGGTTCCCAAGGCGGCAAGTAGATTGTCCTATCTTTCCTTCTGTGGAGCAGAGCTGGTGGGTTTGAACCAGCAATCTTCTGGTTACCAGTCAAATGCCTTAGGCACTGGGCCCCCAGAACTCCTTTTAAGGCAGAGAGAAATTGAGAGCCACCTATAGGGTGTGAACTGTAATCAGAAATTAAAATTTTTCTTTTTAGAGTTAATAGTGGTATTTCATCAAAGCATTGACAAAATATCTTTTCCCATGAATTGTTTTCATTGCACTCCAATAAATAAGTTTCACAATGACTGAGAGAGGTGGAAAATCATATTTGTTAAATATATTTCACTTTCAGTGAACTTTGGGTACTCATTGCAAGCCACAATATCTTAAGCACATTATGAAGTCATACTATTTGTTCTTTGGTTATAATATGTGGATAGGGATACATAACAAGCAACAGAAAAACTTACTAGCCAAAGCCTATGATTTTTCAATACTATGTCTGCCAATTCTATGGCTCAGGAATTCAGACAAGGATATTGGGCTCCATTATATCTGCTCCATTATATATTGCATTATATATTGCTCCATTATACCTGGTGCATTAAGTGGGCTTCGGGGACTGAAACAACTGAATGTTGACTGGCTCCCTTTCTCTTGTCTCTGTCTTTCCTCCCCTTCCCCTTCCCAAAGCCTCTTCACATATTTAGCCTGGCAGCCTCAGGGTAATCAGATTTCTCACAAGGTGGCTCAGGTTTACTTGTGCTCATAGCAAAAGGACCAATGAACTTAAAGACTAGGCCCAGGCCAGGTATACTATCACTTCTGCATCACTTCTGGAGTATTCCATTGGACAAAGCAACTATATACCAAGCCAGGTTCAAAAACAAACAAACAAACAAAAAAATACACATTGCCATGGAGTTTATTCTGACTCATAGTGACCATATCAGACGGCGTAGACCTGTCCCATAGGGTTTCTTATATTGTAATCTTTGCAAAAGCAGATTTTCACATCTTTCTCTGGTGAAGTTGCTGGTGGGATCAAACTTCCAACCTTTCAGTTAGCAGCAGAGCACTTAACCACTAGGGCTCCTTCCAGGGATGAAAGGGAGGGAAAACACTCCTCTCTCAGTGAAAGGTGTATAAAGGTTTATTGAGTTGTTAATGGTTCTCATTGGGAGTGCATTCCATTAGACAGACACACACACATACACACACATGCTTTGTGGAGTTACTCACGATTCTTCTTGGGAGTTCATTTAATTAGCCAAAAGTCACGTCCTCATTTCCTTCCTCAACAGGCCTATTTACCTCGGGCCTTCTGTGAGGCTGATGTGGGATAGCAGTTCTAAAGATTTTTAAAAATCCTGTTGCTCAGTAAAGAGGGTTTGTGAGAGACGTTTTGAAATTTTTCTGAGGCCTTAAGAAAGAATCTTATAGCTATACTCTTGATTTCTCTTCATCCCGAGACCATGTTTTACTGTTCAGGTTTTATTCATTGTCCTGAGGCCATTGTTTACTTTTGAGCATTATCGTGATTGGAAAGACTGTCCTAGAGCTCTGTATGTTGTCTATATTCGTTTCTAAAACTGAACAGTTCCTTCTCTTTCTCCTCATATATTATCATGGACATTTAGATGTCAACTGCTTTTTTTCCTAATTCTTTCTAGAAATATCCCCAACATATCTATGATTTTTTAAAGGTATACGTTCTATAAAGAAATGTGCAAAGAACTGAAGTTTCTTTCCCAAAAGGTAAGAACACACTGGGACTTCTCAAGCTGAAAGAACTGAAGAAAAAAACTCAAGCTTTGAGTATTAATATTGAAACATTCTATGGACAAAAATATTGAACTTCAAGGAAGCATCAAAATAAGATGGAAGGCTACCTCTGGGGCTCTGGTGGCATAGTTCCTAAGGCATTTCACTGCTAACCAGAAGGTGGGCTGTTCAAATTCACCAACCACTCCTCAGAAAAAAAGACTGGGCAATCTACTTTCGTAGAGATACCGCCTCAGAATCCCAAGGAGGGGTCACATAAGTCTAATGGACTTCACAGCAGTGAGTTTGGTTTTTGGTTTGGTGGGGCTAAGACCACCTGATAAACAACTCCATACCCATACACTCAGCCCAATAGTAAAAAGATGTACACGCAGACCACGCCCCCACATACTCTGTGGAAATGCATCCCTTGGAGCAATCGACCATGGGGCACCAGAGGGGCAACATTCTCACAGAGGAAATGCAGGACACACAGGAGTGCATAACTATGAGGGGCATTGAGGAGGGGGAAGTTACTGAGCAGAGAGGGGAGGAGACTGGGTTAGGGTTGAGGATGGTAAATGCGGAGTGAAACTAAACGTACACGTAATGTTGAATGTAAAACAAACTGCTCTGTGAACTTGCACCTAAAGCACAATAAATAAATAAATAAGATGGAAGGAATACACAGAGTCATGTATTAAAAAGAATTAGTCAATGTTCAAACATTTCAGGAGGTAGCATATGATCAAGAACCAATGGTCAAGCTGCAGTGAAGGCAATGGGAAAAATAAGGCTCCAGGAATTGACAGAAAACCAATCAAGATGTTCCACCAAATACATGCAAAGTTGGAAATGCTCACTTGTATGTGACAAGAAATTTGGAAGACAGGTACCTGGCTAACTGACTGGAAGAGATCCATATAAGTGCCCATTCCAAAGAAAGGTGATCCAACAGAATGAGGAAATTATCAAACGATATCATTAATACCACATGCAATAAAATTCCTGAAAATAATTTAAAAACTGTTGCAGCAGTTCATAAACAGGGAACTGCCTGTAATTCAATCCAGACATAGAAGAGGACTTGGAAGGGGGGATATCATTGCTGATGTCACGTGGATCTTGGCTGAAAGTAAGGAATGCTAGACAGATATTTATCTATGTTTTATTTTCTGTGCAAAAGCATTTGACTGTGTGGATGATAACAAATTATGGATAACAGTGCAAAAAATGAGAATAACAGGACTTAATTGTGCTCATGAGACAAATGGTTTCAAAGGAAAAGGAATACTGAATGGTATAAAACCAAGAAAGTGAACATCAAGGTTACCTCCTTTCACCACACATATTCAATCTGTATAATAAGCAAGTAATCTGAGAAGCTGAACTATATGAAGAAGAACCTGGCACCAGGATTGGGGGGAAGACTCATTAACAATTTGAGATATGCAGATGACACAACCTTGCTGGCTGAAAGTGAAGAAGATTGAAACACTTACTGATGAAGATTAAAAGTCTTAATCTTTCAGTATGGATTACCGCAACATAAATGAAATAAAAGATAAAAAATATGTTAAAGAGCAACAATAACACTTTAAAAACTAAGGTGCATCAGACCCAAACCATGGTATTTTCAACAGCCTCATATACCTGTGAAAGGTGGATAACAAATAAAGAAGACGGGAGAAGAGTTGATGCTTTTGAGTTGTGGTGTTGGTGAAGAATACTGAATGTACCATGGACTGCCAGAAGTACAAACAAATTATTCCTGGAAGAAGTGTAGCTGGAATGCTCCTTGGAAGCGAGAATAATCAGACTTCATCTCACCTACTTTGTTCATGTTGTCAGAAGGGATCATTCCCTCCCTGGAAAAGGATATCATGTTTGGTAAAATGGAGGGTCAGTGCAAAAGGGGAAGACCCTCAATGAGATGGATTGATACAGTGGCTGCAACAATGGGCTCAGGTATAGCAAGGAAAAGACCTGGAGGGGGAGGAAAAAGGTGGAACAAAATTCAAAACCATAAAAAATGATCCGAATTGCCGGTTAGATGTAGACTGGTGGAACCCTCGAGACTGTGGCCCCAGGTTACCCTTCAAGCTTGGAAATGGACTCACTTATGTGAAAGATCCACATACACAATACCTCCCCAGGTCGGTGCACTCACCCACTCTAAGGAGATGTACCCCTTGGATGAAGCAGCCTTGGGACACCAGAGGTGTATCACTCACATAGATGGAAGGCTGGACAGACAGGAATGCATGAATGAGCGGGGCACAGGGAGGGGGTGGTCAACAAGAGGAGAGGGGAGGAGAGTTTCTTATGGTTGGGGACAGTAATCAGGGCCATGAGACCAGATGTGCTGAAAGTAAAACAAGTTTGCTATGTAAATTTGCATCCAAAGCACAATTTAAAAGAAAAAAAAAATGGAGTAAATATCAAAGGTTGGAAAAAGATATACTAAGTAAATGGTAACCAAAAAAGGGCAAGGGTGGAAATATTAATTTCTGATAAAATAGACTTCAAGACAAAAACTACCATAAGGGACGAGTAGGGACATTAT